TCAGTCATTGCATATCTGGAAATTATTATAAACTACCCAATATGGCGATTAATCACCAACGGGTTATCTACTGCGTATCTGTTGTAATAACTAAGCACGTTACTTTGGCACTTTATTTGGGAGTAATCAGATACTTATCCTACATCCAGGGGCGGACTGACAACTCATGGGGCCCCTGGGCAATAGGGGATCATGGGGCCCCTGTGTCCCTGCCCAAACAAAAAAAGCCTATGAAAAAGGTACCAGGGGCATCTAATGGGGCACCCTACTGACCCCGGGCCCTTGGGCAGTGCCGAGTTTCCAAATGGTCAGTCCGCCCCTGCCTACATCCATATTTCTATTATTAGCGCTGCAGTTTTTACATTTATATTGGTTTTAGAAGGTATATGGTTTCCTTTTTAGTGCATCAGCTGCTTTCTATGTTGAGCGCTCGCTGAGTCCCGTTTTATTCCCAGTTGTCTAGAAAACTGAAACTGAAAATAGTTGACGCTCACAAAGCTGGAGAAGGCTATAAGAAGATTGCAAAGCGTTTTCAGATGTCAATATCCTCTGTTCGGAATGTAATTAAGAAATGGCAGTCATCAGGAACAGTGGAAGTTAAAGCAAGATCTGGAAGACCAAGAAAAATATCAGACAGAACAGCTCGCAGGATTGTGAGAAAAACAATTCAAAACCCACGTTTGACTGCACGATCCCTCCAGAAAGATCTGGCAGACACTGGAGTTGTGGTCACTATTCCACTATAAAGAGATACTTGTACAAATATGGTCTTCATGGAAGAGTCATCAGAAGAAAACCTCTTCTACGTCCTCACCACAAACATCATCGTTTGAACTTTGCAAATGAACATATAGACAAGCCTGATGCATTTTGGAAACAAGTTCTGTGGACCGATGAGGTTAAAATTGAACTTTTTGGCCGGAATGAGCAAAGGTACGTTTGGAGAAGAAGGGGCACAGAATTTAATGAAAAGAACCTCTGTCCAACTGTTAAGCATGGGGTTGGATCAATCATGCTTTGGGGTTGTGTTGCAGCCAGTGGCACAGGGAACATCTCACGAGTAGAAGGAAAAATGGATTCAATAAAATTTCAGCAAATTTTGGATGGTAACTTGATGACATCTGTGAAAAAGCTGAAGTTAAAGAGAGGATGGCTTCTACAAATGGATAATGATCCTAAACACACCTCGAAATCCACGGGGGATTACATGAAGAGGCGTAAACTGAAGGTTTTGCCATGGCCTTCACAATCTCCTGACCTCAACATCATTGAAAATCTATGGATAGACCTTAAAAGAGCCGTGCGTGACAGACAGCCCAGAAATCTCAAAGAACTGGAAGACTTTTGTAAGGAAGAATGGGCAAAGATACCTCAAACAAGAATTGAAAGACTCTTGGCTGGCTACAAAAAGCGTTTACAAGCTGTGATACTTGCCAAAGGGGGCCGTACAAGATATTAACTCTGCAGGGGGCCCAAACTTTTGCAGACGCCATTTTTTTGTTTTCTGTTATTTTGAAAGTGTAAATGATGGAAATAAAATCTAACTTTTTTTGACATATTATAAGAATGTCTAATCTGTAATTTGATGCCTTTTGGAGATTTTTCCATCTTTCCTTGGCTTCTTTATGCACATTAATACAAATTTTTAGCTGGGGTGCCCAAACTTTCGATCCCCACTGTATGTAACTGTGTGACCTATTTAATTTCCATCTCAGACGTCATGGACTTGTCCAGTGAGAAGAAGTCATAAGCTGCACAAAGTAAAAATTAATTTCAAGCAGAATGTAGCGGTGCAGATATCAGACACGTGTTGTATGTGATTGTGTAATGAGAGGTGAGAGGTGCCTGGGGTCTGTTTGTTGGACAAACACTTTCAGAGAAGTCACGATAACCCGACCTTTAGATATCTGCCATGAAATGACCATGAATGATATCATTGTATTGATTGAGGAGCATCCTAACTGCTAGGCTGACTCTAGGAAACCTATATGTCTCTGCATGAGGGATGAGCTCTGCTTTTACTGCTAGCTTTGCTTGCCCGAGCATTCATCTGAAAGGCCAGGCTTTTACCTGTGAGGCTGAACGTCATGTATGATCGTGGCATTATTACTGCTACTACATGATGGGTTACTTCATATCAATGGTTGCTAAGAAAGCGGCAGGTGCTGGCACCCGCTGTGTCCTTAGCAATCGGCGACATTATTTGTTTGCCGAGAATCCCAGGCCATGTCAAGAACGGGACAAGGTTGGTAGCTAACCTCATTGGCCATGCCTATAGACCACGGGTGTCAAACTGGTGGCCCTCTGTAACGGAACCAATCCCGGACTGCACTTGGGTACTTCCGTTAGACTACCGCTTCCCCGTCCAAACACCGACCACAGACACCACAGCAGACCATAGAAGACTAGACAACACCAGTCTTGAAGTAAACCAGGAAATAGACTACTTTATTTTAACACAGATACAAGATATATACATTCAAGGGAACAACCCCCCCTCCCTGCATAATGACACAGGGTGGGGCAATCTACCCTTAGTAACAAGAGACCAGAGGGGGACTGACCATATGGAAACTCGGGTACTGCCCAAGGGCCCAGGGTCAGTAGGGGGCCAAATGAGATGCCCCTGGTACCTTTTTCATAGGCTTTTTTGAGTTTGGGCAAGGACACAGGGGGTCCATGATCCCCTATTGCCTGGGGTCCCATGAGTTGTCAGTCCACCCCTGCAAGAGACACACCAACAGACAGTCCCATCAGAAGGGAGGGCTGCTGGAGACACCCCCCACCAAGCCAATACATATAAACACATACATCCCATATTAGTTTGCTCCCAAGCAAGACACACAATAGAACAAAGGGATGCAACCTCATGGCATTAAACAATGAACAACCCCCCACCCAATATTAGAACAGATCACCCTGTACCCCTAACAGGCACAGGGTGACTTGCACATAATAGGGATATGGGAAGCTGAGATAGGGGTCTCCCCACCTGTCCAAAGTGAGCTGGGTTCCATAGGCCCCTCACCCAAAGTGACTCCCGTCACACCCTCCAGCTGTTGCCAAACACAAGGCATTGCAAGATTGACAGTTACAAGCATGACTCCCAAAGGCAGAGACATGATGGGACTTGTAGTTTCGCAACAGCTGGAGGGCCGCCAGTTTGCCACCCCTGCTATAGACCAAATGGCCATATTTGGTCGGTGATGTTAGCCACACCAGAAATTTTGGTTTCCTTTTGGATGCATTCATTCATTGAAGAATTTCATTTCCTCATATTCGTTATGTTGACCTGATTCGGTTTCGTAATTAGCTTCGTACATTCCCTTGATCTGGGTGGACTTGTAAAATGTTGCAGTTTTTCTGGAAGATTGCTATACACTCACCGGCCACTTTATGAGATCCACCTTGCTAGTTCCGGGTTGGACCCCCTTTTCGCCTTCATTCTTCATGGCATAGATTCAAGAAGGTGTTGGAAACGTTCCTCAGAGATTTTGACCTAATAGACATGATAGCGTCACGCAGTTGCTGCAAATTTGTTGGCGGTACATCCATGAACCATTGATACAAGGCAGGATGGATCTATGTTTTCATGTTGTTTACCCCAAATTGTGACCCTACCAGCTGGATGTCGCAGCTGAAATCCAGCCTCATCAGACCAGGCAACGTTCTTCCAGTCTTCTATTGTCCAATTTTGGTGAGCCTGTGCCAATTGTAGCCTCCGATTCCTGTTCTTTGCTGACAGGAGTGGCACCCGGTGTGGTCTTCTGCTGACAGGATTGGCACCTGGTGTGGTCTCCTGCTGACAGGAGTGGCACCCGGTGTGGTCTTCTGCTGAAAGGAGTGGCACCCGGTGTGGTCTTCCGCTGACAGGAGTGGCACCCGGTGTGGTCTTCTGCTGGTGTAGCCCATCTGCTTCAAGGCTGGATGTTTTGAGCATTCAGAGATGGTAGTCTTCATACCTTGGTGGCAGCGGTGTATTTAGGTTTTGTGCTGCCCTAGGTAACAAAAAAATTGGCGCCCCCACAGAAAGAGCTTGACATTGAGCAAAAACACCCCTGTGTCCCACCCAAGAGAGCCTCCCACTACCACTGCCCCCCCCCCATACACCAGCCACCATCCCCCATGTCGAGAAAGAGAGAGACCCTCACCTTAACAGCTCCGGACATCCCCGGGAATGAGAGTTGGGCTGTGTATACACTGTCATAAGACCCGCAGCGTCTCTCGAAACCCCCCAGGTCCCCATGCCGCGTGTGTCTCTTCGTCCGTCCCTTCTTCTGAGGCGCAGTGCTGCCCCCCTGAGAAATGCCGCCCTAGGCAAATGCCTTGTTTTCCTTGTGGTAAATACACCCCTGCTTGGTGATAACGAGTGGTTGTTTGAGTTACTGCTGCCTTTCTATCATCTCCAACCAGTCTGACCATTCTCCTCTGACCTCTGACCTCAACAAGGCATTTTCCTCCACACAACTGCCGCTCACTGGATATTTTCTCTTTTTTGGACCATTCTCTGTAAACCAGGGGTGTCAAACTGGTGGCCCTACAGCTGTTGCAAAACTACAAGTCCCACCATGCCTCTGCCTTTGGGAGTCATGCTTGTAACTGTCAATCTTGTAATGCCTCATGGGACTTGAAGTTTGGCAACAGCTGGAGGGCCACCAGTTTGAGACCCATGCTGTAAACCCTAGAGATGGTTGTGCGTGAAAATCCCAGTAGATCAATTGTTTTTGAAATCCTCAGACCAGCTCAGCTGGCACCAACAGCCATGCCACGTTCAGAGTCACTTTAATCCCCTTTCTTCCCCATTCTGATGCTCAGTTTGAACTTCAGCAACTGGTCTTCACCACATCTAGATGCCTAAATGCGTTGAGTTGCTGCCATGTAATTGGCTGATTAACCATTTGTGTTACCAAGCGATTGAACAGGTGGACCTAATAAAGTGGCCGATGAGTGTATATACGACATATTGTTGAATCAGATGAATTCGATATTTTCGGACCCACCGAGAAAAATGACACAAACTGATTGGACGATATTGACTGGCGAATTAATGAATGGAACGAAATTGGGATCAATACGTTATCCGAATCCAAATTATCGAAAGAGTTCGAAAATTCAGTTTCATATCCCCATGGGCCCAAACAGGGGCAGACTGACCATTCCGGGCCCAGGGTCAGTGGGGGCCCCATGAGATACCCCTGGTACCTTTTATAGACTTTTTTGGATGTGGTTTGAGTGTGGGCAAGGACACAGGGGCCCCATAATCCTCTATTGTCCAATGGCCCCATGAGTTATCAGTCCGCCCCTGGGCCCAAACTACTATCGCATCATGTGATGTCATCAAACAAATTAATTCTCTAATTTTGTTAGAACTTTTCTTTCAGATTCATTGACATTCGTTACTCTGTCCATCCAGAGATTTGTATTTGTAGATCCAAAGGGTTTGGTATGGTTTTTGGAGGATGTCCAACCTATTGGATGTCGCACCTATTTCTTGTATAGGGTACCCAATACCAGATCCAAAGGGTTTGGTATGGTTTTTGGAAGACGTCGCACCTATTTCTTGTATAGGGTGCTCCATACCAGATCCAAAGGGTTTGGTATGGTTTTTGGAGGACGTCGCACCTATTTCTTGTATAGGGTGCCCATATACCAGATCCAAAGGGTTTGGTATGGTTTTTGGAAGATGTCCCACCTATTTCTTGTATGGGGTGCTCCATACCAGATCCAAAGGTTTGGTATGGTTTTTGGAGGATGTCCACCTATTTCTTGTATAGGGTGCTCCAATACCAGATCCAAAGGGTTTGGTATGGTTTTTGGAGGACGGGCTTCACCTATTTCTTGGATTTATAGGGTGCTCCAAGCTTTTTTACAGCAAAAGTATACCAGATCCAAAAGGGCCTGGTATGGATTTTGGAGGGCCCCCACATCATTTTTGGGGGTTTATTTAAGCACCTGCGGTGCTTCTAAATACAATAGCCGCGGGTGCAGTTTCCTCCATCCACACTGTTTACCGTATGGAGAGTCAGTTAGACCCCATTCACATCTTGCGATTTTGAGATTGCAAGCGGAATCTGTGATCCCAAATCATGTGACGAATGCGGCACAACTGGCGTTTGGGTACCATTATCCCTTCGTGGCACCCCAAATGTGATGTGATTCTGCCACGATTGTTGCATGACAGGATCACACGGTATTCAGGGCAAATCGCATATGAAGCCTGTCACCCGAAAAAAAGAGCTTCTTTTCTGGTGACAAACCCACATAGGGCAGTCCATTCGAGTGAATGGGCTGCCCCCTATGCCCAGGCACAAATCGCGTGGTGAAAGCATATCAAAATTACGAGAGGAAATGCTGGTCTGCTCACTGTGCGATAAAGGTTTATCTATTTTTCACACAAATAGAGCTTTCTTTTGGTGGTATATAATCACCTCTGGGGTTTTTTTTCTGTGCGTGCGAGGTAGTGAATATTGTTTTGTAAATAAATAAAATAATTATATATTTTGAAATAGTTAACAGTTTTCTGGTTATAAAGTTTTATAAATAAGTGATTTTTCTCCTTCATTGATGGGCACTGATGAGGTTGCACTGATGGGCACTGATGAGGTTGCACTGATGGGCACTGATGGGCACTGATGGGCACTGATGAGGCTGCACTGATGGGCACTGATGAGAAGATACTGATGAGGCACACTGATATGTGGCACTGATGGGTGGCACTGATAGGCAGCAGTGATGGGCACTGATGAGCGGCACTGATAGGTGGCACTGATGAGAGCTGATAGTCAGTTCAGATGGGCACTGAAAGCCAGCACAGATGGGCACTGATGAGCTTCACAGATGGGCACTGATGGCAAGCACAGATGGGCACTGATGGGCACTGATGGGCACACATGAGGAGGCACTGATGGGCTGCACTGATGGGCACTGATGAGGCGGCACTGATGAGGCAGCACTGATATGGGGCACTGACAGCATCACAGATGGGCACTGATAAGCCAGCACAGTGGGCACTGAAATTCAGAACAGATGGGTACTGATGGGCAGTGATAGGCTGCACTGATGGGCACTGATGGGCACACCGATGGGCACTGGGGCTGCACTGATGGGCACAGATGAGGAGGCACTGATAAGGTTGCACTGATATGTGGCACTGGCAGAGCAGCACTGATAGACAGCAGTGATGGGCATTGATAAGCGACACTGATGGCCCTGATAGGCGGCACTGATGGGCGCTGATATTCAATTCAGATGGGCACTAAAAGCCAGCACAGATGGGCACTGAAAGCCAGCACAGTTGGGTACTGATGGGCACTGAAAGCAAGCACAGATGGGCACTGACGGGCTGCACTGATGGGCACTGATAGGCTGCACAGATGGGCACTGATGAGGAGGCACTGATATGCGGGCACTGACAGGCATCACAGATGGTCACTGAAAGCCTTTACTGATGGGCACCATTGGTCGCACTGATGGGGCTACACTGATAATCAAAGCACTGATAATCAGTGAAGATGTCCCCCTGAGAAATGCTGCTCTCCTCTCCTCATGCGCTGTCAGTGTGGGGAGAGGACTGCCGATAACCAGCATTTCCTATTCACACTGTGATTGGACACAGCTGGTCACATGTAAAAGGCGGCTCTGATTGGCCCTTTGCTTGGACAGGTGATCTGAAGGACACAGCGATCACAGCCCGTGCCCCAGGTTGCACGTAAGGAGGTGTGGTCCTGGGAGGACATCCATGGCCTCCGTCTTTTGGCTACAGCGCGGTCAGGAAGAGGTTAATTTACATTACATGATGGCACTGTCATTATTTTAATTTAAAAAAAAATATTTTAATTAAAAAAAAAAAAATCGAAGTACCCAGCTCTCTCTCATCCCGTCTGCAGGGAAACAGCGGCAGCGGCGGGAGCTTCTAGTCCTCTGCTTTCGGTCACATGTTGAAAATTTAAAAAAAAAAAAAAAAAAAAAAAAACAGCCTTTGTATACAGTAAACAAATAAATATACAATACCAATAAATTGTTATAAACCATCATACAAATATATATTTGAAAATCAAATCTTTATTTATTTTTGAATTTTTTTGGCAATAACATTGTGTGGGTGAGTATGAACCGCATTTAATACAGCATTTATAGATCGTTTTTTATTACGTGGGTTAATCGACATTTTAAACATTAGCCCCCCCACCCCTCCCCCACACCCCCCACTATTCTAATTTCCCTTTAATGAAAGCTCCGGACACATTCTATCAGGATGCACGGGTCTTTATTGGCAGACAGCCGGCACGGACAATGTTTTCTCGCGGTTTGTGCCGCCTGCAGATTATACGTAGTATTCAGAGTACTCTTTTGGACACTGCTCCGGGAGGATGCAATCCCTGGAGGATCTGTACATTCGGATGAATGGTGGCCTGCAGATGCAGCCTGGGATGCATGGCAACGAGCAGGGCGTGGGTGGATATTGATCGTCGTCACAGCTGGGCTGACATTCCCCGCAATGACTCCAATACTCGTAAGGGTCCAAGCACTTTACATCTGCAGAGACGAAGGAAAGACAAGAAGGGTTACAATTCTGTTCTGTTAAATGGACTGTAGGGCGTTTCTGCAAAAAAGCACTAAAAAAACGCATTGGTGTGAACGGAGCCTTACAGCAGCCCTGCTCCTTGCTGAGTGGAGAGTTGACTCAGCAGAGGCGTGCCGGACCTCTGCAGAGAGACCACTGCTTCTACACACAAGGGTCTTTCTCTGCAGCATGCTAGCACACGGCAAGCTTTTCTACTGAGACTGTGGCTGTCCACGTGGAAGGAAAATATATTTTAAATATATTTTTAAAATATTCTTATTGACATATATTTGAAATACTACAATTTTGGCCGTATTCAATATATTTAAAAAAAATTATATATATATATATATTTTTTTTTTATTATTTTTTTTTTTAAATATATTGAATACGGCCAAAATTGTAGTATTTCAAATATATGTCAATAAGAATATATTTTAAAATATATTTAAAATATAAAATATTAAAATATATATAAAAAATATATATATATATATATATTTATATATACTGCATGTTGAAATGTGTTTTTTATATATTAAAAAATACATGAAAAACATTTTTACAAATACATATATTTTTAAAATATATTCTTCAGGTTTATTTTAATTTACACATATTTCAAAAATGTTCTTATTGACATATAAATAAAAATATTAATATATATATATATATATATATATATGAAATATATACTGCATGTTGAAATGTATATACATGAAAAATATTTTTACAAATATATATTTTTTTAAATATATTCTTATTTTGGGAAGAATATATTTAAAATATATTTCTCCTGGGGACACCGTGTGTAATAATTATTTAGGTAAACAAATAAAATATTATAAAATCTAAAATTAAAAATACATTGAATCTATATTTTTTGGAATGCGTTTACCAATATGTGTAAGAATATATGTTAAAATGACTTTTTTATATGTTAAAAAAAAATCTGAAGAATATATTTAAAAAAATATATTTTTAAATGTATGCCTTTAGAAAATATATTTAAATTTAATTTTTTTGGAAGACATGTTAAAATAGATTAGCGTAGGTAAATATATGTCACATATATAATGTTTTTTCTAAATCTATTGGAAATATATATCTCTTCCACAGTTTTTTTTTTTTTACGTTTTTTTGATGCGCCTGGAATGTATTCAGCTGATTTAGACCGAAAATGCAGTTGGGCTTTCGTGTCTTTTTTTTTTTTTTTTTTTTATTGCATTTGGCAATTGCATCAAATTGTTGTTGCAACGCTGCGGCTCGCTGACTTACATACTGATTCGTTCCGGGACACTATGAGCAGAACGCTTCTTCCTGATTGGGCCCGGTACGCTGAGAGCAGAACTGTAATGAGAGACAGAATCAGAGGTGGACTGACAACTCATGAGGCCCCCACAGGGGTGGACTGACAACTCATGGGGCCCCCACAGGGCGGACTGACAACTCATGGGGCCCCGACAGGGGTGGACTGACAACTCATGGGGCCCCCACAGGGGCGGACTGACAACTCATGGGGCCCCGACAGGGGTGGACTGACAACTCATGGGGCCCCCACAGGGGCGGACTGACAACTCATGGGGCCCCCACAGGGGCGGACTGACAACTCATGGGGCCCCCACAGGGGTGGACTGACAACTCATGGGGCCCCCGGGCAATAGGGGATCATGGGGCCCCTGTGTCCTTGCCCACACTCAAAAAAGCCTATGAAAAAGGTAC